TATATATATATATGAGAGGAACTATTAATAAAAAAAAATCAGATACTACTTCTAACAATATATGGTGTTCCTTAGCATTTTCACAGTGTTATGTTTGTTCAAGGGCTTGTGCAGATTTTACAGATTCCTGTTTGATTACCTGCCTTAATACTAAGGGAATGATAAGCCTCAATTTCTGAAAAGATACCTTAAAGAATGAATGACGTTTGTTTGTATAAGATAGCGACTTCTGAAAGGGTAAGAGGAGTCCTGTTACTGCAGTATTATTCCTTTTCTGCATTAGCAACAAATGATAAACAGATGTTTCCTTCTGAAGGACTTTTTCCCAACATCATCAGATATTAGTGTCACGTCTAGCGCTTAGTCAGATTTCCATTTGTGTTTTTTGCGTGGTGGATATATGTTTTTAAACCAGTCCTATAGGTTATATACCTGCTTTAAAAATAAGCTTTAAAAATATTTTGTTAGCTCACCTAAAATATTCTTTCCAAAAGATGATAATAAACCATGGTGATATCTTTAAGTAACTCATACACTGCTTATGTCTAGAGATTTTCTTTCTGCTCTGACCCTAAAAGAACTGTAATTCGGTACAAAAACAGACCAGTGTGTATGTAATAGCTACACTCTGTGTGTGCATACTTTTTTATTATTAAAGGAATCAGCCACCTTGCCAGTCTTGAAGAGTACGTTTGTGACTTCCTACCTTCTTTGTAATGTCCTTAAGCTGAAATCCAGTTTAAAACTAACAAAAATTCAAACTGCATGTCCTTCAGACCCTGTCTCAGTGTTGCTCTCCACTGTATATCTAGCTGCATAGCCTGGAACCAGTGCTAAAATTCTTTTGTCTGAAAATTTAACTATTAACACCACTCTAACACAATATAGTCACAATTTGACAGGGCACTTTTTTTATCCTTAGTTGTTTACTTGTCATCTGAAAGAGTTATTCTAATACTAAAAACTTGTGTTATTTTCTGTTGTATTTAAAGCAGTATGTTTGCTTCGTCACTTCTGCTTCTTAACTTCATTGTTGCGTGGGGTTTTTTTGTCTGTAATAGTATGCCTTAACTGTGCAAAAGTCTTTGGATTATGAATTGCATAAAAGATACTATGCAAAATCACAATTGGGAATATACATGATATATTTATAGCGTTTACCCCTCTCTGCCTAATGGCAAAGACATGTGGGAGTATGCATTTAAATATGGTTATGTGGCTTTATACATTAAAGTGGTATTAAACGTTTGTTAAAGTAAACCAGTTGGTGGTCTAGCTGCAGGTTTGATTAATACTAGATGATTATTTGGGATCACATTCAGTATCTTGACTGAGTATCAGTGCCTTGTTGCTGAGAGTCCTGGGAGATAGGATGAGAGGGATCTTAAGGGGTCTGTTTATCCATCCCTATCAGCTATGTCTGTCCAGCCTCCTGTGGTGGAAATTCTGCTACTTATGTGGACAATGTCTTCTGGCATTTCACTTTCTGTACAGTGATCAGGCCTTACCTTCACTTGCTCCAGTTGACGCCCTTTCTTCTTGTCCTGTCTCATCAGTAGCAGATATGGAAAACAGTTTATTCCCTACCAATTTGCAGATATCTTTTGGAATATCATTCTTCACTCTCCTCTCCTCTAGCCTAAATAACAAATTACTTCGACTTTTCCTGCAGTTTGTAGCTTCTTGACCTCTCATAATGTTTCTTTCTTTCTTCTGGACTTCTGCAGTTGTTACACATTTTTCTTGAAACTGAACATCCAGAATTGTACGTGGCTCTGCAAGTAGGGTGATGCCAATGACAAATGGATTGGAAGAAGGGTTTCAGATTAATTAGTTGATTTGTGCTAGGTAAAAATTAGATTGCAGCTAAAAGTCTACTTTTACTTTTTTTTCATTCAATGAGGATAGAGCTGGTGTTACTTTAATCTAACAGTTTTGAATGTGTAAAGCTTATGCTTTTATACAGATTTTTATTGCCTACTTAAATATGTGTCCAATAATTAGGTATTTTTGAAGCAAGTGTGATAACTGGAATATCCTGCAGAACTCCATCCACTCTACGCATTTGGACTCCAGTTCAGCAAAATACTGGAGCACAAACCCACTTCAGGCATATAAATTATTGCCACTTAAGTTTTCAATGGGAATTCAAGAGCAGCATCTCCCAAATTATTGTTATAGGAGATGCAGTGGCTCTGAAGTGTATGTGTTGTGTATGGATCTATAATAGTCTGTTGTATATGCTGTAGCTTAGATTCATTGCTGAACAAGAAGGGGGGTTCTGCTTGCTAATTTATTTATTTATTGCCATTGTATCTTGGCAGGAATTGGTCAGTGTCCTAACACTTTTAGTTTGAAGTGCTTTGATAACATTTTAATTATAAACTACTGAAAACAAGAATGGAAAAGGGAACAAGCATTATGCAATTTAAATCATTATTTGGCTTTAAAGAAAAGTTAAATTAGCCTCAGCTGATTAAAACAGATACCACTTGGAATATTTACACCCAGACCTTGTCTGTTATTTTCATGAAACAGATGCGGAACCAACAGAAATACCGGAACCTCCACCATATGAGAAGAAAATGCAGTTTCTTGAGGACGAATTGTTTAGGCTTACACGATCAGTGCTTGAACTTCAGTCCTCTGTGGCAGGTGTGAATGAAAACCTGAAGTTGACTGTCCAAGAAGATGCTAGTAAGATGTTGGTCACTTGGCTGAACAACCTTTATGACCGCCCAGAGCCTGATAGTGCGATTGGTGGTGAAACAGACACTATTCATCTGCCTGGACTCCTCAGCAATAAAGATCAAAAAGACCCTTTTATTGATTTTGAAATGGAAGATATAAAGGCTGAGCTAGCTGAGGTCAAAGAAGCCTTGAAGATGAGGAATGACAAGCTGGAGGAACTGAATGGAAAAGTAAAAGGCTATGAAGGACAATTAAAACAACTGCAGGAGGCAGCACAAGGACCTACAATAACAATGCCCAGCAACAATATATATCAGGAGTATATAGACTCAAAATTTGAGTCCCTCAGACAGGAAATACTGGAAGGATTTGAAAAGAAAATGGCAGATCTGAAGAACTCCTGTGAATACAAACTACAGGATATCCAGCAGCAGTGTGATGACAATGAAAATAACTGTTTAGGAATAATCGATGTTATAAGAGGAAAAGAGAATGACTTGAGGAAAGAAATAAATACTCTCCGAACTCAGATTCCATCAAACAAGTCCAGTTGTTGCAAGGAGGGTGGGAGAGATGACTTTGACCAACAGATAAAAGATTTAGATAGGAAGATTGACAGAGTTGTGGAAGCACACAGGATCTTGAATGTCAGAATAGATAATGAAATCACTCGATTGTCAACTCCAGATCTAGAAGACATGTTTGGTGAGAGGTTGGAGGAGCTAGATGCGAGGATGAATGTTACAGAACGAAATGCTGAAGAACACTGCTTTTACGTTGAGGAAACCCTCCGTGGTGCTATAGCTGCTGAGGTAGATGAATTGAGAGACTTGTTTGACCAAAAGCTGCGGGCACTAGAAGATAGACTAGGTGGCACTATTTTAGAGATCGCTAATACCACAGACCCAGATGGAATGTATATTAATCCTGGACCCATCTTGCCCAGTGACACAGGATTTGCAAATGAGCAATTGACAGCAGAGATGAATTTCCTGAAGACCAAACTACTGTCACTTGAACACCTCTGTGGGCAGAAATGTCAGTCTGCACCACAAGGTATGGAGGACCTTCAGAAAGAGCTAGAAAATTATAACAACAAATACAATCACTTGCTTTTGAAAACAGAGAACAACTCTGTTCTCCTGCAGTCTCTAAATAGCTCTCTTAATGAGAAACTCAACTTAATTAAGAGTAACCAACGTGACATTCAGAAAATGCAGAGAGATGCACGCGTATTCCGGTATAGTCTAAATGTCATGGATAAAGATGTGAAGAACCTTCAAGATGGCTTGAGTAGCTGCAAAGAGCAGCTCCTGGGTGTCAATTCTACCTGTAGGAAAACACAACGAGGTGTCTTCCGAAAAATTGATCAAATGCAGAGGACATTTGCAAATCAAACTGCCCACCCCAGTGATAATTGCTGTGGTGAAGTGAGAGAGAGACTAGAACAATTGAATGACCATATCCTGAATGATCTTAGCAAGTGCAAAGAAAAGACCCAAGGTATTCAGGAGGGTGTTTCAGATGTTGAGAGTAGAGTCTCGCGTGTTGAAAAAGTTTGCGGCAAGCTGGACTCTGTCTCAGGCAGCTTGCAGAAGATAAAAGAAGGTCTGAATAAGCACGTGAGCAGCTTATGGAACTGCATCCGCGAAATGAATGAAACTATAGCATCTCATTCCACTGATATTTCTGGTCTCAAAAATTCTGTCCAACAGTTTTATAGTCAGGTCTCCAAAATGACCACAGATATTGAAGGCATGCTGAAATCTCAGTCTGACTCAAGTAAGTTTTTTTAGCTTTTTTTAATGCTTTTTTTGTTTGCTTTTCATCTGGCTTTGTTTTCTGAATTATTTATAAAGGAACTAAACAAGGGAGGAAAAATTTAATATTACACAATTTTTACTTTGTTTTTACAGTGACTCTAATTTTGGCTCTTTGTTCTAGAACACCATAGAGGACTTTGAGTGTTTTTAAAAGTATTCTCACAAAAAAAAAATCTTATATGCTTTCATGTTTACTTTGAGCCAGAATAAAGGGAGTGCGAAAATGAATATTTTTGGATAGTGAGTTTAAAGTGAGTTTTAAGTAATAATTATCAGTGGGTATTATTCCAGTTGATTTTTTGTTTTGTTTTATTTTGTTACAAGAAATTATTCTTGATTCCTCAGGGAAAATTGAAAAGTAAATGGAGAAAAACGCAGTCAAAGGAATTCAAATCTATGATAAGAAAGATTCCCTGCAAGTTTTCTTCTTAGCATAAGTTAATGATTATAATTCAGCACCAACTCTTTGATATAGGACTTTCGCGAACAAGCTCTGGCATGTCTTGATGTGGCCTTATGAGACTTCTGCTTCATAGCTCTCCCAGGAGTTGTTGGCATTCCCACATCGTAGTTGGCAAGTTGGCAGTAGGTGCACACCCCGGCTGCAGTGTTTTCACACCTCAGCCACTTCTGTGAGTAGTCTGACATGTTAGCTCAAGTCTACCTCCACAGGTGGTTTAAAGTTTGTATTAGAGTGGCTGAGAAGCAGAGGCACATTCCCTTTGACTCAGAACGCTATGAAGCAGAAACCTCAACATGTTAGTGAACCTTGCCACAAAGGTTTAGAGACTGTGCCAAATGCCACTCAGTTCCCTCTGCAGTTCTTGCTCCAAATTGCAGCAACGGATTGTTTGTCTGAGAGTCTCAAAGTTTACAGAAGGAAGCTGAGTTCCTGTTTCTGTTAGCATGATGCAAAAACATAGGAACTGGAAACTGTTTTGAAACTGTACTCTTCAGTTGGTTGATGCTTCTGGTTTTAATTCTGTGCATGTGTGAGAGAAATAAGAGGCTGATTTCTGTGACTGGCCCTAAACCAGAAGAGGTGCTGAGGGAAGAGCCTATGGGCTGTTGCAGCTGATGGTGGCTGGTGGAGTAGAGATGTGGAACCATGAGCACTGTTGCTGGAATGGACAGGTTGTTCTTCATGAAAGGTCTGACAGTAATTTCTGTGGGGAAGAGTATCCTTCTTATTCCAAGGCAGAGACTTGAAAGCCTGCGATAGATGTGTTTGTTCTGAGTGTTTAGTTGTTTAAAACCAAATGTTTTGCTGTATTTGACACAAAAATCCTCCTGAGAGGAGAAGCTCTTGTGTGAAATTTAAAAAAAAAAAGTTTCTCTTCTTTTAAAGGAAGAAGTGAAGGAGAATGCAGGGAGTCTGTAATTCTTAGATTCTTCTTTTGGTGAAATCTTGACTTAAATTCAACAGGGTTAGGACCTAGATCTTGCAAAAGCAGACCCAGTCCCTATTAAAATGCAGTATGATATATCTGTGTAATCCTGTTTCTCATCCATCTTTCCCCAAATAAATTTGCACTAGGGGCCAACATTGGAGAAAGGTCCAAGATACACACAATAATCTTTCTCCTGCTATTTAAAGCAGGTGTTCGAGTAGCCTCATGGACTGTATTTATCAGCCCCAATTACAACATTGTAAAGCATGACAAAGCCTCAGCACTCCCGGGTTCCCATAACATAATGCCGTTTCAGGGCAGAGCCGCTCCATCCACCATCGGGTGTTAAGGCCTGGGGAAGGACGCTGCGGCTGGCGCCGGGGTGCAGGCACTCTGAGTATCCCTCGCTGCTGTGGGTGCTTCTGGCCACTGAAGGATTCATGAAGCACGTGCTTCAATCCCCAAATGTTTCCAATTACAATAACACTGTCTGGCACAGCAGTCTGAGTAAATTTTGATGGCTGGAGTTGCAGAAAGATTTTGGCAAAAGAGCCTTTTTTGGAAGTAGCTTGGGAACCCCGTTACAAGAATTGGGTGCAGCTTTAACTGGTTTTACATCTGTGATCTGCAGCATTGTGTCTGATACCGACATCATTTGAAAAGAAGACTTTCAGTCCTGGACGTAGATCGGTGTTGATTTTCTTACGCACTATTTGCCAGTGTATCGTAGCATTCAAATGATGTCATTTGACTTCAGAAGGGCTGAAACAGAAACAATTTGTTACTAATAACAGTTGTTGAGGGCAGTAAGGCAGGGATGTGTTGCAAGAAATACAATATAAAATCATATCAAGCAGTGTAAGCCCAGCGCACTGTAAACCTGAGCAGAGTCAAATGACCCTGACCTTAGGAATATGGCTGTGTTTTCTTCTGAATTTTTTATTAGGGAGTTTGAAGTGCCTCAGTCCAAACTAACAAGCCAGGTTATTGAATGATTCTAGGTCAGATACGGACCCAGAGGCCAGACCTGTATTTGATTTGTTGGAATTTCTGGTGAATCATAGAATGGTTTGGGTTGGAAGGGACCTTAAAGATCATCTAGTTCCACCCCCCTGCTGCGGGCAGGGACACCCTCCACTAGACCCCGTTGCCCACAGCTTCATCCAGCCTGGCCTTGAACACTTCCAGGGATGAGGCATCTACAACCTCCCTGGGCAACCTGTTCCAGTACCTCACCACTCTAACAGTAAAGAATTTCTTTCTAACATCTAATCTAAATCGCCCCTCCTTCAGCTTAAACCCATTCCCCCTTGTCCTGTCACTACACTCCCTGATAAACAGTCCCTCTCCAGCTTTCCTGTAGGCCCCTTCAGGTACTGGAAAGCTGCAATTAGATCTCCCCAGAGCCTTCTTTTCTCCAGGCTGAACAATCCCAACTCTCTCAGCCTGTCCTCATAGGAGAGGTGCTCCAGCCTTCTGATCAGCTTCGTGGCCCTCCTCTGGACACCTTGAAGGTACACAAGGCAGTGGCAAGGGCAGGTGGTGATCTGCTCTAAGCTCATAGTGGACCACTCATGATTTGTTTGCCAAGGTATTGTAATCCAGCAGCTCTTGGTGCACCAGAAGTGGTGACTACCCTCAGCTCCACGGCTCGTGGGGGTAATTTCATTTCATCACGCTCTGTGCATCTCTGCGGGTACATTTGCTCTTCAAACAGCACGAAACTGAAAGAAATGCTAAAGTTAGTGGTCTCTTTTAACTTACTACCTATTCATATAGATTAATGAAGTTTTGCAGGAATGAGAAGTGTGGTCTTGCAGCCAGATACCATGCTGGGAGTGCAGTTTGCTTTGGTTACAGTTATTTGACCTGAACTGCAATTCCTCTGGTAATTGTCTCTCTAGCAGGGTTTCAAAAGCTAAATGCTGTCTGCTGAAGTTACGGTCTAAGAAACCAAATGTATGCTCCACATTACAGCATTGATAAAGGGCAACGTAAAATCTTAGTGTCATAGTGCAAATAAGAGAGTCATATAGTCAATTCCTGTAGGCTCACAGTGAGCTTGTGCCAAGTGGTACTTTGTAACTAACTTAATTGTCAAATCCCTTGAAAATTCAAGTCAGGTCTTTTTGGCTTCTTGTGAGTACAGTCACAGATTCCTTTTCTCGCTAGTTTGTTTTACGCACTTTGTTTCTTTGTGTGTTGGGGGCTGAGGAGAGCATGGTCGGGGCAGGACAATACTAGAAACAGATGCACCCCAAAGATCCACCCGCCTCATGCATCCAAGTTGCTGCTCGCCTTCCTTCCCAGCAAATCGTTCCTCCTTCAGTGAAGTAAATTGCAGGTTAAAGCTGCCTGGCTGAACAAACTGAATAAAATAAAATATTTTTAAGAGGGGGAGAGGAACAAAAGCATTCTTATTTTCAGCTGAGGAGGGAAACCTGTCCTTCTGTTTCAGTTGTGGATTGGCGTCTGAGAGCAGAAGCTGTTGAGTGGCATGATAACCGACTTGTCACTTAAAACAGTGATGACAAATCAGAGTAGCAAGGACGCTCCTGCTGAGGACAGTGTTACTGTTCTCAGCTGTGAAATGATCTCAGCTCTGCTCTTTGCCTTCCCAGATAGATGGGAAGATGATGGGGAAAATTTCTGTTTGTCTGCTGCTCAGCAAAGCTTAAGCAGGTCCAGCTAGATTCACCCCAGCCTTTGTTGAGGGTTCAGTTTCTCATTGCCTTCTGAACTGAAAACACGTGTTATGGAATTCAGCATCAGGATAGGGTGACTCCAGCGTTATCATCTTTATCTAGTGATTTATTGGTACTTTGTGTTGGTATGATACATCTTAGTAGAAGAGGCCAAAAAAGTTGGCAAAGATGGCAGACCAGATCTCTCTTAATCCACACCTATCAGATTACTGGCACTTTAAATTGAGCTTTAGGCAGGTAATTTTGGATGTAGCTTTATGGAGATGTAGTTGGATAATTCTGAATATTGCAATATTGATGTTGCATGCAAGGAAGCAGTTTGCACAGGATACAGGATTTAAGCTTTTGATTGTTATTCCATGGTTTAGAAAAGAAATGTATTAATTTTCGTTGTCTCAGCCTAAGTCGTCTTAATAGAGTTCAGCTTACTTGACTAGAGAAATGAAAAGTACATGCATCCCAATTTTGTCAATTTGTGTTTTGAATGAGGTTAATCTGAAGATCTTAGTTGAAGGTCTAAACCTATGCCACTGTGGACAGAAGATATCTCACTAAGTTAACTCCTCTGTTAAACAATTTCAATACTTTAAGCCTTTTTTTGAAAATTTTTATAAAATTTCTCAATCCTGGGATTTTTATGAAGATAATTTTAACCTGTATAATTTGTATAAACTCCTTAGTCCTCTGCCTTGTGGACAGAGTTACCAGGTGAGCTTCAGTCCAGCTTTGTGGTGCATTGCTTGTATCAGTTTCAATTCTCAGGACAGTTAAATTCAGCCAGCAAAGATCAGGAAGATTTTTTTCTAGGAGACATACTAGCAAATGGATGCAGGTGGTGTGAGACTATGACTTCAGACAGCCTCTCAGTACTCTGGAAGGCTTATGTGGACTTTTTACGAGACTGAAAACAAGAAATGAGATTCACAAGGGTAAAGTGCAGGTGTGGACTAGTCACAAAACAGCACGTGGGTTGCCAGCGACACCGTCTGGAGCCCAGCCATACGTCACGGGCAGTACCTGCATGACGTGGTTGTAAGCTTTCTCCCAAAGGCACAGCGTAAGCCCTCTTGGGGGTCCCCAGCTGTGCAGCAGAGCCGGGGAAGCCTCACACCACGTCTGCTTCTAGGCACAGCCGTTAGGTTTAGGCCTAGCCACTGATGAATTTACCCAGGCTGATTTTGGACGACGATGAATTTAAGTGCTTTGTTCTGACCACTGAGACCTCAGAGCGGTGGTTTCCGCTGTAGACCATGGCAAGCATCTCTGGTGTGACAAATTGCACCAGATAAATTTGCAAGGAGATGTTTGCCCATTTCCCCAGAAACTTACTTCCATCCCTGCACCTAAAGCCATGCTTTAGTCTCAAAATGCAACCAAAATCACCAATGCTAATGTTTAATTTAGAATGAAATTCTAATTACTCTGTGTAGAAGCTGTCATTACATCTGATGAAATCTACACATTTTTAAATTCCTCTTCTTAATGAAGATGTCATTCAGCTTCATTCATGTGAGGACGTTGCATCCTTAAATGTCATCTAGGACTTCATTTTTATGAATAAGCTGTAATTTCTATAAAGGGCTTAGAACTGGACCAGATACACAAATGTAACCATGTCAGCGCTGTTCAACCCTGATGTCATGTGTGTTGGCTGCCCTACTGGAAAAGTCTTTTAATGGTATCTCTTCTCTTTAAACAATAAAGGCTTTTCTGGTAGATTATATTCTAGAGTTCTGCCTTCGTTGTCAGAAAATATTAGTAATGGGAGTATTTGGAATTTTAAGTTCATTGCTTTTCAAAGTAGGGAAAAATATCTGTAAGTCAGTGTTCATTTACTCAGGTTTTTTGCTGTGGATACTTCTCTTTATGGTAGTCCTAAAGGATCAGCCTTGTGCTAGGTGTTATGCAAGTATGGCGTCAAAAGTAGGAGCGATGGGTGGGAGGGGTTCAGGAGAACTGAAGGCAGAGAGAGAGCACGCAGTGGAGATGAAGGCACCAGTGGGAGTAGGTGCGATATGCAGCCCGCTTGGTGCGGAAAGTCAAAGCTGGACTGACAGGTGAATGTTCACAGGTTATTTGACTGCTGCTTGTCCTCTCTCTAGACTGTCTTCATTCCTTTCCCTGTGTCACGGGCTGGGAAAGAGGGGAGTCTGTAGTACTGCAGGAGTAGAATGGAGTTTTGCCAGTGCAGTCTTGGATCCGAGGGGAAATTTGAGTCCTGTTTTATTTTATAGGTTTTTTTTTTTTTTACAAAAATATGCAATTTTATATAGTATTTTAGGTGAATAATTCTGTATCTTTCCTCTTCTTTCATCATTTCAAAGGGCGATCAGAAGTACCACGGCAGCCATTACCACCAAGACCACCCCTACAGCCCCAGCCTGGCATATCCCTGCTGCCGCCGAGGATACAACCCCCACGACAGAGGACCCCCCTCCAGCCACCACAGCTGAGACCTCCTCCACGCCCAGCGCTGCCAGAGTCAGGTGTTGTGCCATTTCTGCCTGGAACAACCGGGATCATCTTGGAGACTGGAGAGGCAGGGCCTCCTGGCACTGTTTTAATGTCAGGAAGAGGGCGGCTTAGAAGCGTGGATGGTCAGGCTGGTCAAAGTACCATGCCTGTTGCTGAAGGATATGCTGGAGCACCAGGTGAGAGAACCAAACTAATAGCGAATCACTCCTGTCTAAGTGCAATGGACATGACAGGTCTTGCTGGAGGGGTGACACTGAGATCTGTTGCACTTTACCAGCCACCTTGCAGCCTTTCATGGAGGCCTGTTATAGCTGGCGTTTGGAGTTTATGGCAGAGATGATTTGTGAACGGGCCTTTGCAGCCTCCAGCTGGCAACAGAAGTAGGGGAAACACATTCAGTGCCAGTTTTGTTGCCTTCGCCAAGGCTGCACAAAGCATGAGGTCAACAGGACTGATGTAAAATCCTTTGTAACTACAGCAGTCTTTGCCACTCTGGAAACTTAAATTATTTCTTTCTTGCCATAATGCTTGCAGTGGATTTAGTACATTGTGGTAAGAATTTAGTTTTCTTTGTCATGACCACCCCAGTTTAAAAATAATTGAGCATTTCATAGGAGATTCTATGTGGTGGCTATTTTGGTAGGTTGCTGTTTGGTAACAAACGATTCTTTTTAGAAGACTGCAGTGATATTTTGTAGTAAGGTATTCCATTATGTACTATGTCACACATACTACATTATTTCCTTTGTAGGATATCCAAAGTTATCTCCTCCTACCACGGACTCGCAAGGTAAGGCAGCTGTTTCCTAGAAATTCTTTACACAGGTACTCAATGTTTATTTCAGTCCCTGGAAAGTCACAGTTGAGAGTTTAGCACTGAGGAAAATCTGACAGATTTTTGCTATACCTAAGCATTAAAACATAATCTGCATCCTTTGAAAATATGGGGGTTTTGAGGTTTTGAAAAATAATTCGTTCTGGGTTATTGTTACTTACTTCAGTGTTTTTTTAAAATACAAAGGGTTTCTATTTCCTAGAAAACTACAGTACTGATTTTTTTTTTCCTTTTAAATGGGAAAATATTTCTTTCTGACTATTTTAATATTTCTTTAATAAAAGATGAATAAGGTCATGACTAAGATCTTGAAGCACTGTTAGTATCTGAGCTGGTGCACGAGTTTGTCCTCCTCATGGAGGAGTTTCTGGTTTTGTTAGAATCACGAGGGCTCGTGTTCCTACTTCAGTGAAAGCAGGAGTGCTGCCACTGAGAACCGCATTTTAAAAAGATTCAAATGCAGTTTTCTTGGTTAGGTGAGATTTTTAATTTTTTCCAGTTGTTAATATCACAGTTCATTTATGGATTTGTATGATAAACAGGTATAAATCTTGTGTGGGACATGCTAGTTGGCCTTGATAAATATGCTGATTGGGTGCTGCCTGCCCTACAGCCTCATATGCAAGATATTATCAAAGCCTGGGGAATGGTATCCTGGATCAAAGTGAATATTCCCACACCCTCTTCAAAAAGAATGATTTCATCTAAATTTGTTTGAGGAAATATGAGAAATAGATGAAAATAAAACATTAGGGCTTTATGGCATCCAAAATCCTGCCCTTGGGACTTAGTTTGATGACTCCAACAAAATCACAGATATATGTCCTGAAGACTGGTCTAGGGACTGACAAAAAGAGTTATAAAGAGTTCACACTGTAATTCTGTTACTTATACTTTCTAATTAAAAATCTGTCATAGCCTTAAAGCGATCTTTTTGCATTTGAGGATTGTGGTGGTAAGAAGCAGCAGCAATAGATGAGGCTTCTGGAAGAGGATAAGAAGTGAAGAAATGTTGATGTATCTTGATGCCAGCAAAGCCAATATAGATGTCTAGATTTCTGTGATAAATGGATTTCCTGGGGGCTTTCTTCCACTTTGTACAACCTATTGCCATTTATAGACAGCAGTATTTTAATAAGTTTATGCTAAAACTGTGTGAAACAGTAGGTGGATGTTAAAGTGTTGAAAAGACAGGGTGTGTCAGGCAGTGCGCCTCTGCTGCTTGGTGGAACATGTTGCAAGAAATGTTATCACCCTGTGACCCAGGGAGAGGTGAGCTTGACCAAGGAGTTCCTTTTCCTGATCCGTGCACCTGAAGACCTATCCAAATATAAGATATACCTGCTGATCTGTCCTATAACGTCCCCCAAAATGCATTGCAAACCCCAATGGCAGGTGCAGTCATAGAAAACAGAGAGGTAAGGAAGCTGCAAATAGCTATTAGACTTCTGTGGAGATAGAGCATTTACATCCACTGTTCCTAATTGTTAGTGTCTGTTTATAAACAGCAAAGAAAAAGAGCACTCTGGGGCAGAATTCAGCAGTTAACAGTGTTGTGGAAATTAACAGCTGGGGAAGGGAAGATTTTTTTGCTTATTGGAGGAGGAACTTAATGCTTAAATAAGGAAGGCATCAAGGAATCCTTAATGTCTAATTCGTGCAGGACCACAGTTTATGATGCCTTTGCCAGTCTTCACCTAGTACATTTTGTGGTGCTGAAATTCAAATTTGAAAGAAGATCAGACCTTCTTGTACTATAATTCCTAAAATAAGAAACTTGTACAATTAAACTGGCCTTCTGAGTACTCCCTTTCATTTCTGTTTGTGAGTAGCTTCTGTTACATAAAAGCACTGCTCAGGAAGAAGTGGAGGGCTCCAACTCTGTCCTCTGGGATTAAACTAGCCCCACTTTAGTGCTCTTCTTGAATGCTGAGGCATGATACCAAAGTACTTCTGGAGTTTTCCAGATTCATTAGCTATCTGCATGTAAAGATCTTCAAGGACTTATGAGAGAGTGTATGCTACAATATTACATATTAGCTCTATTTTCACAAGCAAGGAGTTTATGACAAAGGCGAGTTAAGTGTCAGGACCTAAGTGCATCCACCTAATCCCTTTTAATGCAGAAAGAGTTGAACCAATTGTTATTCAAAGAAGCATCAGCAACAAATGTTATTGAAGCATGGCAATTTTACAGTTATGAGAATTTTTGTTTGCTGGAGCAAAGAGAACGGCAGAGGCACAAGTAATGAATTGGTTGATGAACTGCTCTGGGAACTGATAAGAAAATACTTGTAAGATCCCAAGTCACACAGCTAGGCAAGGACAGAGCCAGGAGGAGGGTTTGGATGTTCTGATCAGCATACAGAGGGTCACAGTGAAAAGAAAAAACAAAACCTGAAAGCATAGATGGCCTTCCCCACCCTCTCCCTTCTTGCAGTCTGCAGTGTTGCTTGTGTCCTTAACCCTGCAGCTTCAATGGAGGGTGGCTGCTCCTCTAACAGAAACTCCTTGTACGGTGTGATAAAGAAAACAGCTGAGCTAGTAAGAGTGAGCCCTACCACTGTGCAAACACTACTGTATATATATTCGTGCACATAAAAGGCTAATTTTGGTTTGGGCTTTTTAATTCTTTTTACTCGTCTGATACTCGACCTTCTTTACTTTCTCCATGTGACTCCAGGCAGCAAGCCTGTAGGACATGTTTCAAATATAAAGGCATGATGTTACTGTAGCGCAAGATTTATGTTGTAGGTGGTCCTTGATTTGAAGAAGGAGTTTACTGAATACATAAGTTACCCTGCTGTGCTCATGATGGGTTCTGCTGCATGTTTAGCTCTTTCTTTTGATCATCGGACAGGGAGCAGTGTTCTCGTTAGTACCACCAGTGGTCTAGCAAAGGGGAAAGCGTGTTTTCTGACTTTGAGGTAAAGAACATGTGTTTACCCACAGTTGACCAGTGGTTGTGTTTTGCTGCCGTTTGCATGAAAGACCAGTGCACTTCACAGATGGGGTAAGAAAGAGATGGGTATTTGTGTAAGGAGCAGTAGGCAAGTGCTAGGGCAAACGTTCTCCTGCTGTGATATGAAAGGTAGGAGTTGTAAGAGCAGAAAGAGCTGTTACTAACAGACTCAGGAGAAAAGCAGCTGTGTCTTCATAACAGACTGCGTGAGTTATCATCCTCATCAGAAACACTGTGACTTAGCGGAGCAGAGCTAATGGGCCCAGTTTCGTTGAGCCCGTGGAAATCAGTGTGGCACTGTGCTGTGCTGCATCCCATAAGCAGAATGAATGTTCCTGAAATGTGTTAGGGTCAAACTGAAGAGTTAAAAAAAAAAAAATATAGGTGGAGAGGTGATAAATTGCTGATATTACAGAATCACAGATTGGTAGGGGTTGGAAGGGACCTCTGGAGATCATCTAGTCCAACCCCCCTGCTAAAGCAGGATCACCTAGAGTAGGTTACAGTTGTCCCATTTGCTCTAACTAAAATTATACATTTTTCCCTCATTTAGATTTAGGAATATTGGCCAAGCAGAGGAAGTTTGACATATGCTCCCTACTCCTGCCATATGCAAAGGAGTCATAAGTGCGTACTGACAAATGAATTGCATACTGATAGTCTCTCTTCTGTGTAGATTCTTGAAGAGCCCTCATTCCAGTTACTGAGCAATTGTCAGCAGCACCATCGCACTCTGTTATTTTTTTCTCCTTTCATCTTGATAGAAAATGCCTATGCTGTGCACTGTTTTGTTTTCCTTGATTGTTTGGGTGTTTGTTTGGATTTTTTTCTTCTTTTTCTCCTTCTGGCCCTTGGTCTCCGTGGGAGGCATGAACTGCGCTGGGATGTCAAAAGAGGTGGAGAACCAGAAATACAACTAGCAGATGGGTGGAAGTAGATGTAACCTAACAAAGACCACCCATGTTTCTTCTGTTGTCTTTTGACTCCCTAGAATGTATTATACTAGCTTAGATAGCCATGAACATGCATACCTGCTCCTGCTTACGTATATATCTCTCTCTCTCTCTCTGAAGTGAAACCTTCTTGAATACATCTAAAGCCAGAGTTTTTTCCTCCTCCAGTTGTAAAACTGTGGTTGAATCTTTTGTGAAACTTTCTGTCTGCCTTCCAGTTTCTTCATCAGAGCTGTGCATGTGGTTCCCAGCTTTTAAATGCTTTAAAACTTTTCTTCCTGATTTTTTATAATTCCACAACACTAACTGCTTCCAAGCCTGGACCTTGCCTAGAGAAGCTGAACTTTGTTTGATCTTTGCATGAAGAAAAGCGCTGGCAAGTGGGGACACGTAAGAGAAGGTGGTTCACTTCTCTGTGAGATTCTGCAAAAGCACTGCTGAGAGCTGTTGGTAGGACTTGGGAAAGCTTCAAACAGGCGCAGTTCCAGCTGGAAGATGGGAGGAGGGTAAGCGAGCACAGACACATTATGTCTTTACTGTGCCTCCTTATGTTGTCCTCTGAACTGATCTACAGGATATCTAGATGGGTTTAGGATTTCTGCTTTGGACAAACACAGATGGTGTGCTAAAGTAGGCTGCAGATCTGAAGCAATTTAAGCAGCAAACTCTAATAATAAACTATTCTAGCAAGTAGTGCAGGAAAATCTTGAAGCCATGGCGAGCCAGGGCACGAGTCGCTCCCTTATTCAGATGGCACCAACCTGAACAGAACCGTAGCTACTTCAAATGGAGAGGACAGCGTTTCTGGGCAAGCAGCAAATTCTTTGTGCCATGTGTGCGGTATGACTGCAGGGGAGAGAAACCTTTCTGAGGGAGCCAACGAGAAGTTAGCTGAGGCGCATTTTCAGTTGATTTGAGTCTCAGGGTAAGCTGAGAATACAAAGAGATGCTTTCTGTAAGTAGTGTGGTAAGGTGGTGGAGCTTTAGAGAAGCTGCTTAAGTAAGTAGACTTCCTGCAATTAACTTTGGTCCTTTGAAATAACCTCATCTTAGCTTACAGGAGCACTTGCAGGTGCACTGGCAGGTAGGAGTAATGAAAAAGGGCTTCTGTCTGTTTTCCAAGCGTGAGAAAAATACTGAATAAGGAGATATCCAAAGATACACGAGGCAGCTGGTTACTAGCCCTTGAGGGAAATCAAGGTAGTTATTAGCCATTTCTGAAGTTGCAGGCATGTCTTCCCCTTGCCTTCCCCTCCCACCCCCCATTCCCAGTTATTCAGAAAAAAAAATGGATAGAGCATTTGTATATCCACATTTTAGATGAAGTTTTGTCACTTTTTAACTTCAATTTTTAACTGATATAATTTGAACTGAACATTAGTTGCTGATGAGCATCTCAGATTGAGAAGAAGAGAAAACCAAACTTAAGGAAGGCAGAAGAAGGAGCAGGGGTGAAACAGCATGAAGAAGACATGGATCCTAACCTGAACAGGGTAGAAATAGAGCAACTGAGGACAACTTGAAGTATATTTGTTATTTACCTAATTGCCCAAACAAAGCAACAAGAGTTGACTGCTTCTAGTACTGTGTCCCGCCTTAGGGGAAATGTTTAGAGGGAAGGGAACTAAAATGGGACTAATTAAGTGGTCGATCACTAAACACTTGCCATTAAGTCAGTCTGTTAAAAGTAAAAATTTGTCTTAATTGTCCAAATTGTATTTCATCCAACACCAGTCTAACAGCAGTGTTTAGCTGTTGAGCACATAGCCACTATAAAATACTTCAGTGTCTGTTTGATCTGCTGAGAAAAGAAGAAAATATTGTGGAGTGCAAAGTCCCCCAAAAATGAAGTGCCAGAGAGAGAGAAAAGCCCCACTGATGGTTCTCTTTGCTTTAATACCGAAGTGTTACTTCTTGTAGCTATTTTCACTACCCTCCGGCAGAGAAGGTAAGAGAGTCTTAGCGTGACTAGGACAGCTGGCACGAGCTGTACACTTTTAGCACTCCTGTTAGCGTTGTGATAGTGACGGAGATCGGAGACGTCCAAGGGGCAGCCTCGGTCCTGAAGCATGTCTGTGGCAGAAGCATCGTTGAATTGAGAGGTGGCAGGATTTCCACTGCCAGCATTTACAAGCCACGTACCTTTTCCTTAGAAGGAAAAGAAAAAAGAAAAAAAAAGGGAGGCTGTGGCCAAGGGGGGAATTTTATGGTGCTCAGTAAATTTTATGGTGAGACACTTGGGACCTGGGCCAGCAATACGTATTCTGCTAATTCTGGCATCCCTCAAGTGACAGGGTTAGTCCAAGTGGAGTATGTGCGGGAACAGAGGCAATGGATTATAAACCATCACAGGGAGAGGCTGTGTTGTCATCCTGATGTGACTCTGACTCACGTTGTTACCCATTTTAGGACCTGCTGCTGCTGCGGCCTCTCTGGTGTCGTTTTCTGCTGGGCTCACACAGAAGCCTTTCTCCAGTGATGTCGGCGTGGTTCACTTTAACAAAGTGCTTGTGAATGACGGGGACTATTATAACCCCAATACAGGTAACAGCCAAAGAATGTACCCACAGCGATGCCAGATGGGCGGTAGCATGGGTTACCAGTGTTTGCTGCTATCTCAGGCCTTGCTGGTGCCTTGAACGAACAAATTAAGTCCATCTGAACCAGACACAGCGGGGTAATAGCAGAGGTGAGGTTCCTTGCTAACCCACTTCACTGCAGCTCAGCCAGCTGGGTCAGCCGGGGGAGGGAGATGATACATACTGCCTCAATGTGATCAGGTCTCCCCATTTTGAATAACTCTGAAAAGCTCTGTCTGTCTCTCTCCTGCAGGCATTTTCACATCACCATATGAAGGACGCTACCTGATCACCGCTGTGCTGGCCCCAGAGAGGGACGAGTACGTAGAAGCGGTGCTGTCTGTCTCCAACGCAAGCGTGGCTCAGCTCCACACAGCTGGGTACAGAAGGGAACTGCTGGAGTACCACAAACCTTACTCGGGGAAACGGACCTGTGGTGGTCCTGGGACATTCCACCTCGTTCTTCACCTCAAAGCGGGAGATGAAGTAAACATCGTTGTAACAGGAGGCAAACTGGCCTACACAGACTCTGATGAAATGTACTCCACATTTAGCGGAGTTCTCCTGTATCCTTCCATTTCTCATGTTTAGGTTTACCTTGAACAGGAGAGAAGGGTAAGATATTCAGAAGAAATTAAGTGTAATAAAATTCAAAGCTTTAATATATTCAGTTTATATATTTGATTTCAGTGATGGGTTTATATTCTATACTGAGACCTTTTCCTCATCCCGTTTCCAGAGGTAGCTACAAAAGACATTTTTCTGTAGCTAAATTAGCTCCTTCCCAAGCCCTTGTTTACACCTGTACAAGCAGAACAACTGTTTAAACAACAAATATGTTCTCAATAGATCCTTCCCCACTGTGCTCTTGCTATTCCCTATTAAATTGCCTTTGCAGTCTTCTCCCTAGTTTATCAAATTGTCCCTAGTGTATCAAAGTTTACATCTTTGCTGAAGTTTACAGTTGTGGTCAGCTATGTTCATGTTTTTGGTAAAGCAGGGGCAAGAAACCAAGGTTGTATTGGATATGGTTGATGACTTCTTAGCCCTTGTGTTATTTAATAATAAGTTGGGTCAAGTACATTGGCGTAAACAATTTGTTCAGTGCAATTGCTAACCGTGGTGGTGGAAAGCAAAATGATACTCATCTGCATCGGTTTTCTTGTTTCCTTTAAGGGCCAAAACCAGTGCTAAGTGCCAAGATGAGTGACTCATTCCAGTCAAGTGGAAGCAGCTGTACAGGGAGAAACTCACCTCCCTTCAGCTTCTCACTGGGCAGACATGAGCGTAAGGTGCAGTTGCTACTACTGAAAGATTTAGAACAGTTCTTTTCAATTGCTACAGTAAAAAAGACGATTAGTTAAGCGTGATGCTCTTGAAATGAATAAAACAGGTCAGAAAAATCTGAATCATCTGTGCTTAGCTAGAAAAATGGTAATTTTGAAAAGTTTAAAAAAAATTTACAAAGTTTGTTTCTGACACTCATACAGTATTTCTTTGTTGTGTTGTAGAAGACAAGTCAGAGGAAAAATTGTTGATGCAGGAAAATAGCCTTATTAGCCAATACTGTCAAATGCACTAAGTCTGTTGGAACAGCCTCCTGCGTCGGTACTTTTGAGGGAGGTTTGTTTTAACACCCAGCATCTGTTTATATGGATGAACAGATAAAACACCTGTGGGGCAGCAGTATTTTATTTCTTATACTAGCCACTTCTCAGTGGAGGTACAAAACTGATGTTTTGGCTCTTCAGAATTAACATTTTGATATCTTTCATGGCTGAAAAAAAAAAATCCAGCCACGCTTTACTGAGAGCAGCACTGCCTAGCTGTCTTCTATATATTCTTATATAAACTGATCTTTTTAATACTCTATTCATGCTGTATATTTATCGTAGTGGTTTGTATAGAATATTTTCCTCCTTACAAATCCAGAACAGCTGTTTATAGCCTCAGAACAAACAATTCCTTTAGGTGAAGGAAGAACTCCCAGTGCTGTAAGCAGCACAGTAGGGTTTAGCTGAAGCCCTTCCCATCTGAGGAGGTCAGATGAAGACTTAATGCCTTTGTTACTTAGTTTTGGCATAGATACTCCCCAATAACTCTGTTTCCAGGCGATGTGATGGGGCCTTCCCACAACAAACTGTCACATCCTGGAAGTGGAGCTGCTTTTGAGAAAAGCAGGCAGAAAAAGCTTTTTCTCCACAGAGGAACTCTGGAGTCAGTCCCTGTGCAGCAAGGATTGCACTGGGGGAGTTGTGAGCACAGGAAGGAAATTGCGGGTGGAGTTTCAAAGCACCTGGTGTAGGAAGATCTCTTGGCACCTGATTTTTCAGAAATGACGGTGTTACTGATAAGCAGTAAGGGCTGGATGTATTTAGTAGCAGGAGGGCTGTTTCTGTAAGAGCAGCTGTTAGTAGCCAAAGATGTATAGTGAACTTGCACTTCATGGCTTGATAAAGGGAGCCACCCCCATCCCATTTCCCTGCACATTTGTCCTGGCCTGTGCTAGAGCATGAGGCATGAGCATGCAGTTAGCAAGCACGTGCTTGTTCAAGGGGGACTTAGTTTCCTTTTGTCCTAAATCAACATTCCCGTTCTGTCCCATGCCTTTCTAGGTCTCCTGTCTGTCCTTTCAGTTTTGAAAGATTGTTTATGTGTTTCAAAAGCCAATTACATCAGCTACTTTTTTAAAAATATAATTTCTTGTTATGTACAAAAGCCAGAGAGGCGCTTTTAGGATATTTTTCACTCTCCTCAAGAAAGCTGTGTTCTCTAAGAAGTTGGCTCCAGACTATGTGTGATTCAAGTATTGTTAGATTATTGTTGCCTGTTCTAAAAATGACTCATGGAAACAAACAAAATGTGCTGAGTGCTTAGGGAGACCTAGCTGGCAAACACCCTTGCTTTTTTTTTTTCCTTCCTCCAAGCGAGACATTTTTAAGAATCAGCAGTGCGAGTTTAGTGCTAGAGTTACAAAAGGTTTATCATCCAATTCTTATTTAACCGCTGCGGTAGATTTCTAAATCCAAGCCACCAATCTTCACCAGCCCAGTTCCACTAATGGGACAGGGCCGTCTTCTACCAGAAAGCTTCTCCTCATACCCGGGATCTGCTGCTGCCAATGCTGAGATTGTTTGAGCCCTCGTAATGCAGCGTAACTGTTGTTTGTACCCACGTATAAAGCATTCCCTAAACTATATCACAGCAGGTCCCAATCTCAGTAGTGTATTTTGAGTACACTTTTTAGAGCTTTTAGGGGTCATTTCCCATCCATCAGCTTGAGCAGCGCAGTGGCTAGAGCTATGGCCTTTGACTAGGAACCTGTCTTGGATTCCTGCCGTTGTTGAGGGAGACTTGAACCTTAATTACCACTTCCTTGGTAATTGCTGTAATCAGGGTAGGTGGCTCAGTTCCTCTTGATGACGTTATTTTCCTGGAGCTTACAAGATGGAATATTCACCCAGCTGGAAGGATCACAGTGCTGTAGCCCCTGAACAGTAAAGGCAGGGGGAGGAACCTCGAGTCCCAGTCTCTGCTCCTGTGGGTGCTTGGATAAAACATTCATTAAAGTGGCACTTGGAAGAGACTGAAGCACAGACACATTTGTGGGCCCGCTGAGGGTTTGCTCCACCCAGAACAGCTCAGCTTCAAAGGAAGGAGCAAGAGCCCTGCCCCAGAACACCTTGAACCCACTGACGGAGCATTTACATCTTCAGTGAGAATCGGCAACAGCGCAAGGAAATGCCTGCACCAAAAGGAACATTTCTCACTGTGGGTTCATGACTTTGCTACCATGTTTAAGAGCATCCACAAGCTCAAATAGGGAGCATCTGTTAACCAAGAAAGCCTTAAAAAAATAATCCTGTAGGTGGGAGCTGTAAGGCAGGTGTGCTGCTGGTTTCATAAATCAGTGCTGCCTTTTAGATCTGCTTTGTAGGTACCTCTGTAATGCAGGGTATGAGGATTGTGAGATTCTTAGGCAAAACAGTATCTGTTGTGCCAGGTGCTCCCATTTTATATCACAGCAGGAAGAAAACCAAACCATACCAGGTGAAGCTGTGCGGACATGTGTCTGACAGCCCCTTGGCCAGGCACAAGGCAAAGGAGGTTTATCAGGGACTGTCCGAATATCAAAACCAGCAGAGTCCCTGAAGCAGCATCGCTCGTCAGACAGGTGACTTTCCAGAGCCAGGCTGTTAGCAGCAGAACATCTGAAGACAAGGGGCCATGCCAGCAGCCAAAAAGATTCTGCTCTGGCCAAATGTGCGAAGTGTAGCCTAGAGCAGCTATGGGGAAAGACAACAAAGCAACATATAAATTAGTTGTATCCCCAGGAGAGCTCGGAGCAAAGCAGGGATGCAAATTTTCACCACAAAATGTGTAAAAAAACTACCTCATTATTTTAATTTGCTAGTAACCAAAAGACTGTGGAGACAGTGGAGACATTTCTATACTGACCGCTCAAAGCAACGAGGATTTTCTGTGGTATTGCAGGGTACGCCAGGTTACCTGCAGCAACTTCGTGCAGTTGAGCCGGGAGACTCCAGTCAGCTTGGTGAAGCCAACCAGCCAGCCAAGAAAAATTACGAATAGTCAAGGAAATAGAGTGAGCTGTAAGAGAAAAAGCATAGGAAGGCAACTTGAAACAAAATGCCCCTCACCACCCAGTGTAGCTTTAAAATCTGCTGGGTATGCAAGGTAAAGGGCTCCCCAACTGCAACCAGGAGATGTGAATCAGGATTGAAGTGTTTCCTGAGGATACATGGTGCATTTAGAATGAGTTTTACCTGCTGAATAAGGAAGTCCACAGTAGTGGATATGGATATATTTCACTAAAATTATAAATGCATTTACGCAGTCTCAACTTGGAGACAGGAGGAATATGCGCTCCACTGAGGATCAGCAGGTTACATTTTGGCTGCTGGTTGCTTCCGGATAATGGCATAAAGTTCAAATTGCCAAGTTACCAGGAATACCTGGGGGCTGTGTCCTGTCATCACAAGACAGTTGCACTCGAGCCAGCACCAACCCTCCTGCAATGTACCCTGCAGACTTGAGATGCACAAGAGCAGCTCTGCCAACTCTTTGTATATGGGAGACTTCAAAGAACATCTTGCAACATGTTACTACATAAGCAAGTTTTGGCATTTATCCATTTTGCTATCTTGGTTGTGGAAAAAAAGAAACATTATTATAATTTTTCAGCAAAAAGAACAGTGCATTTGAGAGTGTGTTTTATGTGTGCGTGTGTATACATCTATTCATGGATAGAGAGTAATATCCAGGAACGTGAAGAAAACTGTGATGGAAAACAACTGCAGATATGCCCAAATAAAACCTACCTGTTGTCTGATGGCTTGATGCTCTTTTGTTTTCCAGTGAACACAGCAGCACTGTAAACCAAAATTTTTTGCTCTCTCCTCAACCGTCTTTAAAACTGCAGCTTGCAGGTATGTTTTTAGGTGTTTATTCAGTGTCAAGCACTGTTACGTAGGCGTTGTGGTACACAGAAGTTCTGCTAACAAACACAGTTCTTTTACCAGTCTTAGTTGCTCACTCAGTGTCCTGGTTCCTGGCAAATTGAATAGACTAGACTATTTCAGTTGGAAGGGATCTACAAACATCATCCAGTCTAACTGCCTGACCAATTCAGGGCTGAC